GGGTTCCCCTGTTCAATCCAACTAAGGTCGGGGTCCGACGTCACTCTCTCGCAGATGCTGCCAATCCTGGCTAAAGTTTCTATTAAGAAATTCCATTTAATGAAAACGCGTTCCAGGGTTCGGACGTTTAACGCGAGAAGGCACAATGCTGCCTTGATTTCAGACTTGTATTGGAAAGAAGGAAAGAACGTTGCAGAATGGACGTTGCAGAATTGGATGCATATACGAGTCGATATACAAGTTTATATAATTGTTTGGTAAAATTGTTTTTAAGATTATTGAGATTTAGGGAGTTTGTAGTAATTAGAAATTACGTTATTTGTTTAAAATTTTATAATAGGAATATCAAATGAATATTAATAATTAGCGGAATTAATAATAAAAATATCATCGTTGAGTTTGTTACATAAACTTATTTAATAAGGCATGAATTATTGTTCATAATTTTGAAGATAAAAAATTTCGTTACTAATTATGCAATGAAAATATATATATATATATTTATTGACGATTGATAAAACAGTATTCTACTTGTATAAAAGTATAGATGTATAGAGTAGATTTGATATCTTTTTTTATTTCTTATTTTTATTATTTTAATATCATTTTCAATTATTATAAAAAAATCTGTAATGGTAATAAAATTAATAAATTATTACATTCGATCAATCTTTATTATTAAAAAATATAAAAAATTATTTATAAAATTAATGAATATAATAAATTATAAGTTTATAAAAAAATCGTTAAGTAGAATTAATAAAATATTAATAGAATATTAAAAATATCGTATTTTTTAAAATATTCATTCACAGATAACTGTTATCGATAGTGTTTGACAGTCGGTCTATTGACCGAGCTATAGTTACCAAGTGAGGGAAGGTCGTACGTCACAGTTACGATCTGACTATTGAACTCTTTAGATGTGTGGAAGTTACGCGCGTTTAGTTTTATATATTTTTTGCATTAATTACACGTGTTTTATTTACAAGTATTTATGTTTATTCGTAGTATTATATTTATTCGCGAGTGAAATAGTTTCGCGCGCTTTATTCGTAAATGTCGGTATATTGTAACATTTTTATAGATAGATGATAAACTGTAATTGTTCCAATATGTTATCTGTGAATGGTAAGTTGTATGTTTTTGTCACAGATTTACTTTTTTAAATATATAATAAATAAATCGAAATTAAAATTTGAATTAAACTTTAATAATAGAAAATAAATTTTTAATTTATTTGTGTAATAATATTAATTCTAGATTAACATTAAACATTGTTATAATTATAAAATTATTATAAAATTTCAAAATATAATATAAATATGAGATAAAAATTATATTTCATGCTTTTAGTAACAGTTGAATATCAATTATTATTAATTCATATATCGAGTATATACATTTTTATTATTAAAATAAATTTGATAATAAGTTCGATGCATAGATTTTATAACATAAAATATTATTCTTATATTTAAATTAGTATTTAATATTACTTTATTTTTAATTTTTAATTTGATTTTATTTTAAACTTTTAATTTATTTAATTTATAATATTCAATTTTTATATAATTTCTTTTTCTTTTTGCATGTTTTATATTTTATAATTATTTTAATTTATTTAATACTTATTATTAATATTATATTTTATATTTCTTTAATTTGTTTAAATTAATTTTTAAATGTCTTTTTTTTTATTTTTTAGTTTTAGATGGGTCTCGATGCGTAGTCACCTCCTCGTTGGTGAGACCCGGTAATTGGCATCGCTTTTCAAA